CAGATCATTGTGATCTTCGGCTGCTTCGCAATCTACTGACCAAAGCACCAGCTACCAGCAGTCCTGCCAACACTCCACTTTGCGCAGGAGCAAATATAGCAGATCGTACGATGACCAAGGTACCCACAATCACAAATGTGATTGGAAGAATGGTAGTTGGACGGTAAGGTCGCTCAAGTTGTGGCTCTCTACGGCGGAGTACAAGGAGTCCGACAACAGTACTGACATAGAAAACCCATTCGGCCATGCCAACGAACGTTAGTAGTTCCCGAAAACTACCTGTCAGTATGTATACTAGGGTTACCACAAGGGCCAACGCGTTGGCATATCTGTGGTTTATATTAGCAGGCTTCCGCGTAGAATAAATTACTAGGAGATCTTACATTGGAGCATCGAATCTGGGTGACGAAGTGTCATCTCCGTTAGCTCTTTGCTTCAGTGGCATGCCCCTTTGGCTGAAGAATGCCGGAAGGTAATGGCGCTGTGATGCAGCCATGGTCAATCTGCCCACTGAGAACACGTTGCTGGTGATCGATCCTGCACAGGAAATAGCAACGAGGAGAGTAATAATAATGCCAGCAGGTCTCCCAAAAAGAGCTGTTCCAGCAGCGACTGCAACTGCGTTGTTGCTACTCAGCTTGTCCCAAGGCACGAGGATGTAGTACGCGATATTGACCAGCTCAAAGGAAGTAAGAACTACGATCATTGCAGCTTTGATTGCCTTTGGGAGGGCACGGCCTGGGTCGCGAATTTCGCTCGCCACGATATTGGCCTAAAGTTGTCGTCAGTCAGCTAAACGCGTGTACAGCTTGTGCAGACTTACATTGTCCCATCCGTCATAAGCCCACAATCCACCGTAAATGGCTGCGCAATAATGACCATAGCGGTCCCAGGCGCCCATAGACAACCAGTCAAGAACTTGGCCGTCCGATGTAGTCGGTCTCGGTTGAAACCAACTCTTTGAGTACCAGTCGCTAGAACCGGAAAGATGAGATTCTGGGTTCACCAAGTGGGCAATAACTGCAATAAGCCCGCCGAGAACTATCAAGCTGACTGTTGATAGCTTGAAGACTGTAAATGATTCGCTCAATCTCATCGTGAATTTGGTGTTGATGGAGTTGAGCAACACCATCGCTACAAAAACAATGACAGCAATGAGCTTGAGTAACCCGGCATCTGGCAAATTGTCTGAGCTGGTTGTAACTGAACCAACAGACTCCGCGATAACGATGCTTTGAATGGCCATCGATGAGGGCTTCACGCCCAGGATATACACCCAAGCCATAAGGAACGCCGCGGTGTCTCCGTAAACGTGGCGCAAGTATTCCTGCATGCCGCCATTGAGCGGTAGAGCAGCACCTAGTTCTGCGAAAGATGCAGCTCCTGCCCATGAGAGCAGCCCGCCAAGTACCCAGACCAGAAGAGCAGCACCTGGAGAAGGTACATTGCTGTCGACTTGTGCCGGTGACGCGAATATGCCTGAGCCTATTTGCAGAGTAACAAGCACAGCAAATGCGTGGCGTGTGGTGAGCTGTTTAGGCAACTGGGTCACTCGTGGGGCGGATGGAGCTGCATCTTGTCGTACAAGTAACGGGTCAGATTCGGTAGCGTTTGGCTTGGGCGGCTCTTCTCCAGAATGATCAATACTGTGTGCGTCGTCCATCGCGAGATATCTAGCTACTGAAGAGATGGAGGTGGCTTGGAGATAGAGCCCGCACTGCGTCACCTATACTGGTTTTTGACCAAGGTTCACGGCCGTTCTTGCAACCAATCTTTGGTCATTTCCGATTGGCCCCGCACGCTAGCGAAAGATCTATCGTGACCTCTCTTATCGAGCATAGCTCCTTACTAGGTTTCTTAGGCAGCTGACTGCTTCTTTTCTTGGAATGTGAAAAAATGGTACTCGGCTGACATCTCCTTTTCTTAAGTGAGTATAGAGAAATGGCTGCGTTGATTCGTCAACTAGGGGTACTCTTTGTGCTCTGGATCTAGAAGAAACGCTAAACCTATTTTGGAGATAGCTTGATGAGACGGAACATCAATCGTTTCTATGGCAAATAGTGTGAAGGACATGGCTATATGGAAGGATTGCACAATAGGTGAGTACGGCTCAGGTATTGGTAGGTTCTGGTATCTTGAATCTGGCAGTTTATTGCGTTATCCTGCCCTGTTCCCAGTTGTTGAATATAATCTACATCGATGAACGCAACTGGGTGGGGCAGCACTATACTCTTAAGCCGTTCAGTATAGGGAGAGACCAAAGGGGATTGGCCAGATTGCACCAAGTTGAGCCGCAATATCATAGTTGTACTCCCAACAGCAAAAATCAGACTAAGATACCAACAGCACTTGGCAGAAGTGGGGGTGGCATTTTACAAACCCTGTAGTTGTGCCATTACTCCAAGGTTTGTAAGACCCTGTTATCGATGGCTTGATATCTTCTCTGGCAGGTAGTGCAGTGTATAAGAAGCAGCTATTATTGTAATAGCTAGCTATTTCTGGCTTAACTTGTAGTGAATCATATCCATGAATGTGGCGGTGTGAGCCACAAATCTGCAACGTCAAATTCAGAGTCTGCGCTGCTACGTACGGCATGACAAGGTCGTGGCCTATTCTACCTTTGACGTAAAAGAACACAGTAAACCAACCACGATACTTACCTTGGCCGGAAAATTCATGGCCTGAAAATGTATCTCGACGGTTGTTGCACTGAACACTGGAGCTGTGGCTGTGGTGGCTGAAAAGCTCGGTCCTCCTCTCTCGAGTGCCTGCCCAGATGCCCTGACACCCCTCTTCGCTTCCTCGCCAACACCAGGTACGTCAACACCACGCCCGCGCCCAACTCCCACCGCGCACTCACAAACTTACACTCCTCAGACACACATTCACCCACCCGACATGGACGCAAATCAGAATGACGAGCTCTACCCCATCGCCGTGCTCATCGATGAGCTCAAGCACGACGACGTTATTCTCCGCTTGAATGCAATTCATCGCTTAAACACGATTGCACTCGCCCTGGGTGCTGAGCGAACACGCGAGGAGTTGATACCCTTTCTAGATGGTGAGAAACCTGTTGAGTAACCCTGGATGCGCTGCAAGTGGCTAACACGGGCCTGTAGAGTCCGTTGAAGACGAAGACGAGGTTCTCACAGCATTGAGCGAGGAGCTGGGAAAGTTTGTCGAATACGTGGGAGGCCCAGAACACGCACATGTGCTTCTCTCACCACTCGAAAACCTTGCAGCTATAGAGGAGCCCCTTGTCCGGGAGAAGGTGCGCGCACTCGTTTCTAACAGCCTGGGGTACAGCTAACGCGCACAGGCTGTCGAGTCTCTTAACAAGATCTGCGAGGAGCTCTCGCAGCAGCAGATCGAAGAAAACTTCATTCCTCTTGTCCTGCGCCTATCGAAAGCCGATTGGTTCACCTCCAAAATCTCCGCCACAGGTCTCTATCAGACCCCCTACTCTCGCGCCACACCCCCGTCACAAGAGGCCCTTAGGCAACACTATGGCCAGCTAGTACACGATGACACTCCCATGGTACGAAGGCAGGCGGCGAACAATCTGGCCAAGTTCATCAAGGCCATGCCGCCTTCTATTGTCATCGATGAGATGATCCCGCTTTTCCAGCACCTTGCCGCAGACGACCAGGACAGTGTCAGGCTGTTGACTGTTGACATTCTCATTGCCATCGCCGAAGCAGTACCCAAGGAGCAACAGTCGAGCCACGGGGTTTTGTTGACTGCGCTGCGCAGTTTGTTCGAGGACAAAAGCTGGAGGGTGCGGTACATGGTGGCAGACCGATTCGAGAAGGTGCGTTTCAGGCGGGGATCAAGCAAGGCATGCGCTAACGGTATTAGATCGCAAAAGCAGTGGATGAAGAGGTCGTCAACCGAGACCTTGTGCCAGCATTCGTTAAGCTCCTCAAGGACACTGAGGCGGAGGTCCGTAGCGCGATTGCTGGTCAGATTCCAGGTAGGTGGTCACGGAACGATATTGTATGACAAAGGCTGAACATGGTAGGATTCTGCGCACTCCTTGAGCGTGAGACCCTCCTACACGAGGTCATGCCCAGCATAGAGGAGCTGGTCTCCGATCAATCGCAGCATGTCCGCGCCGCGCTTGGCACTCAGATTAGTGGGCTGGCACCTATTCTTGGAAAGGAGGAGTAAGTTGGGCACTAACGCGTGACCACGTGCTGCAGTACTGACTCTGACTAGGACCATCTCACATCTCCTACCCATGTTCCTGCAGATGCTTAAGGACGAGTTCCCCGACGTGCGACTGAACATCATCTCCAAGCTCGAGTCTGTCAACAACGTCATCGGCATTGAGCTTCTCTCGCAGTCTCTCCTTCCAGCCATCGTACAACTTGCCGAAGACAAGCAATGGCGCGTGCGTCTTGCCATTATCGAATACGTTCCCCTGCTTGCTTCCCAACTCGGTGTACAGTTCTTCGACGAAAAGCTCAGCAGTTTGTGCATGAGCTGGCTTGGAGATACTGTCTTCTCGATCCGTGAGGCATCGACTCAGAACTTGAAGAAGCTCACCGAGGTCTTCGGCGTAGAGTGGGCCAACGACGCCATTGTTCCCAAGGTCATGGCCATGGGACAACACCCCAACTACCTATACCGTATGACGACGTGCTTTGCGGTGTCGACTCTTGCACCTGCCCTCAGCCTTGACGTCATTGAACAATCCATTATCCCCATGATGGACAAGCTTGTCAACGACGACATTCCCAACATCCGGTTCAATGTGGCCAAGTCGTATGGCCAACTGATCAACACACTCAAACAGCTTCCAGAACAGGGTACGGTGATTGCTCTTGAGAAGGCAGGCACACCGGGTCAGGGATGTCAAAAGGCAACGGACGTCATCACGAAGAGCATTTTGCCCAACCTAGAGAAGCTACAGCAAGATGATGATGTGGATGTGCGATACTTTGCGACGACAGCAGCCCAAAGCTTCACCGAGGCAATGCAGACTTAGAGGGTCCAATTGCGTCCGTGTTGTTGAGCACGGAGAATGACATGATGATTAGCATGTATGGGTAATGACGTAGAGTGTGAGTGTGAGTGAAAGTTTGGAGAGGAGCAATGTATGACGAATCCCTCGAGGTTTTGGTTGGAAGCTGTACCCAAACTCGGTGGGCTAGTGTTTGGTTCATGAGCATGACCACAAGATAACCCCTGTTAGATTTACCATGGGCAAGTTTATTTTCAAATGCATTACTTTGGCGTTAATCAAGTGCTCACATGGCAAGATGTTGGGCAAGTGCAGTTGCTAATGTACTTTATTGCGCGCCGAGTATCGCCAGACTAAGTACAGGGATCATGTTACTTTGCAGTTTTCCGGACGCTTATAGGGCACCAGCATCCTTGAGCAGGGTGTTGAGCTCGCCCTTCTTGGCCTGCAAGTCACTGTTTCCACCAATGTGCTGCTGGGCGATGAAGATGTTGGGAACGGTCCTCTGACCAGTGATGTCGGCGAGCACAGACTGGATTGCTGAACCGTCGTCTGTAGAACAAGGGTCAGTTATCGCTCGGCTGTGTCAATGAGCAAGATGTATGTACGTACCGACTTGGTCGAGCTCGATGGCGTAGAACTTTGCGCCGCTGGCGCTCAGCAGCTGCTTGGCCTGGTTGCAGTATGGGCAGTAGGACTTTGAGAAGACGGCGACGGGGTTCTCGTCGATGATGGACTGGACCTTGGTCTTTGTGGCGGACATAGTTGTGGGTGAGGGGGCGCGCGTGAAGAAGTGGCGCAGGAACGAAATTTTGGCGGTTGTAGGGTCTGGTTATGTGTATAAGTGGTTTGTATGATGAAGTTTGTGTGGAAGGAAGACGTACTCAAGTAGCCAGAGGCGTTGTGGAGATTGGCAGGAGGACGGATATGTGCAATGGATCTGTTTGAAGTGTAGATGTACTATTGCTATGTACGTCCAAGTGGATTAGTGATGCGCCCCCGCCGAATAGACAGCTTGACAGTGGATGATGCAATCGCTCATCCGGATTCACCGCCAATTAGCGTCGGAGATGGATCGGCGATTGATTACCAAAGCATATACCAGTAGCCCGTGCGCCTAGCCATTGCCGTCGTCATGGCGCATAGGGCTGAGGCTACGCGGACAAAGGGCCAAGGCTCGACTAAGGGACTTGGGGCTTTTGGACGTTTAACCAAGGAGAGGATAAGCAGTAGAATGGGTAGTGTCGTCTTGGTTGAGATAGATGAAAGACGGCAATAAGAGGTGCACCGGGTCGCGCAACTTCCGCATTCCGACGCGAGACTGAGCATTCCGAAGCTTCCTAGTACGCTTGCTCCTGCCCGTAACAACCGTCGAACCATCTTTTGCCCAGGCATTCAGGCACCAACCCAACAATCTCCTTTAACCATCACACACGCCCATCGTCACCTCTCTTATGCGTACTTGCGACCGCGCGCTACCATGACGTCTTCAGCGTCCGGCTCTATTGCCTTCTTCGTCCTTTCACTACTCTCCATATGCGGTCTCGTCCTCCTGCTGCTACGCTACTATCTCCCGCTTCGCACCACACCCGCATACGTCGTCCTACCCGTATTCCTGGCGATAGCTCTTCCAGCCAGCATCGTTGTCCTGCTTCCCATCGATCTCGCCAGCAGCGCCGGACTCGATACAACTG